AAAATGTAGGCTAAAAGCTTCGCTACAATATGAGCAATTTTCTTCATGAACATTGGTGGGACGAAATCAGGTGTTAAAGAAAGGCAGTCTGGCAATTTATCAAGAGCTCAAAGCTTTAGTACCATCTACCCAAGGGAAATAAACCATAGGGTGACGATAACGAGAGTAAAAACGGGCAGTGGATCAGCGCTGTTAGAGAACACCTGACAAAATTTATCCCCTAACAGATTGGCTTTATGATCATCCGAAACTGCCCCATTCCCGTCAAACTTTAAACAAGGGATTTTGCATACAGACCCAGGCTTTCTATTCAATAGCTTGTGGAATCCCTTTTTATTTTAACTATTAGGAGACTTCTCTTAATCTTTAGTAGATAATCAAACTTTCGTGAATACGAGTGAAAACTATTCAATCCCAATTATCCTGTGGAGCTTTAGCAGCATAGAATAAACAACTCCGATGATGAATCATATTTTGCAGATATGATGGAAATGAGCTCTGCATCTATAAATCTGCCTAAGAGGAACATAATTCATTATCATGTTGCAAAATACTGAGGAACATCACTTTCATATTTATCACTAACAGAGCTAGCATTCTCGAAGGGATCCCTCCAAGCAACTGACTTAAGGTACGCATTCAGGCCCACAAAATCACAATTGAAATCCCTGCAAATCGTAGGATGCGGCTCACAGTATTCGCTTGTGACACAAGGTGAAATACTGTTGTGATCGCTATTACCCACACGTGACTCAGCCTTTATATTGTTCATCAAGGCTTCATCATTGGCCAGAAATAAGTCCAAAATGCTTGTCTCCAGTACAAACCAGTATCTCCTTCGGATGTCGCTACATATGACCAATCGATATCTGGGAAGTTGAAATCTCCCACGGCAACCGTTGGGTGCTCACATATAGAAAGATCACCAACAATATTGCAAAGTTGATCACTAAGTAACAACATACACGTCGGAGCTCTGTAAACAGCAGTGAACCTTATCTTAGCATGTTCAAAATAGGTATCAACCGCTGAAATTTCATATGCCTCACGAACCGAGTCGCAAACGATCTCGACATAAGTATAAATTTTTGTATTAACAATAGCACATTACCACCTTGACATTTGCGCCTATCACAACGCACAGAACAGTAACTATTAACCGAAATAAGAGAACAAAGCGTTTGAGATGAATTAAGCCACGTTTCACAAAACATGAGCAGATCATAATTATCACATAGTAAAAGGTCAAAATAGCTAGAATTCTTTGAAAGGGACCTTACATTGGCGAAGAAACAGGAAATACTATCATTAAGTGTCCTAGAAGGAGCCACTAGTTTAAAGATTGAGTGGAACAAGGTTGCAGTTGAGAGGAGGGATTCGATGTAATTTCATTTGGTGCGATCTTGAGTATCGTGCTGCATTCCTTATGCTAGGGTGTGAGCAATGTATCTGTCGAAGATTTCGCAAATTTCGAAAGTTAATCATGATCCTTCCAATCATTTCCTAGAAGCTTGCATAGGGTGGACCGGAATGTCTCCCCAAATCCTCCTTTACGAGTTTGAACTCGACTATACCGCTGCCGAAGCTTATTGAAACTTGTGTCAGTCGTGTGGCTTTAAAGCCCCTTTTGGGTGTTTCATGCGCTCCTGGTTCCATCGCCACAAAGCCGTGAACAGCAAACCTAAAATTAGTTTCGTCTGTTCGACCTATTGCGATATCGCTGGACGTGGAGCAAGATTTGTGGGAGTGGAGAAAAGGTCAATTGATCAGTGCCAGATCAACTGACCGAAAGCGGTTACCAGACACACTTGGACACATCTGCACTCGGCTTCATTCCCGGATCGCACTTTCCGTTGGCTGAACCCCATGTTACTTGAGATGAAAATGGGTTCTCTGCATCAACGACACCTGCGTGGTTTGAACGCAATGAACAGCCGAAATCTCTCGCTTAAGGTGAAATCCATGAGAACACAGTCACGCTCAATTTCTGATGAAGAGTTCCTAAAATTTACCACTTAGTGCTACTGACGGATAACACGGCGGGCCCTGCCGAGGTCTACTGCACTCAACAAGCTGACCGAAAAGATATAGGAGGAGCATCCTAACCAGGGAAAGATCCCAAGTCGAAGTGGCCGATTGAACTGAGACCTACAGATGCTGATCTCAAATTACAGATGCTGATTGCAAATCTGCTTTCCGATTTTGGCGAACGATTTCGAGGAGTTGTGACGGCGATTTTAGGTGGGCTTGACATAAGCGAACATAAATTACATGGATGTATCGGATTCCTCAACAGTGTCTTGTAGCAGTGGTAAGGTTGACACTTCATGTGCGAGGACTATGAATCGGACTTGAGTGTGTGTTGGCGGCGCGGGGGGG